GAGCCCGATGCGGGACTCGATCCCGGGACTCCAGGATCATGACCTGAGCCGAAGGCAGTCGCTTAACCAACTGAGCCACCCAGGCGCCCTGTGGGTGATTTTTTAAAAAGAGTTTGACAAGAGTGAACCCCAGGGTCAGTTATGACTTTGGGTGATAATGACATGTCTGTGTGGGTTCACTGGTTGTACTGAGGGTACCGTCCTGGTCTGGGATGTCAGCAGTGAGGGAGATTGTGTATGCGTGGGAACAGGGAGTAAGTATATGGGAACTCCCTATAATTTCTGCTCAGTTTTGATATAAACCTAAAACTGCTCTAGAAAATGAAGTTTATTAGTTAAAAAAATTTAAAAGGGAGTTTTGCAAGGCAGGATTGGGATAGGGCAGAGTTAGTTTGGATTGGGCAAAGTTATGACATGCTAGCTTTAAAAATAGTTTACTTAAATAAAAATTTAAAATATTTAAATAAAAAATTTAATAATTTATTTAAATAAAAATTTTAGCCACTGGGTGGCTCGGTCAGTTAAGCATCTGACTCTTGATTTTGGCTCAGATCTGATCTCAGGGTGGTGAGATTGAGCCCTGCGTCAGGCTGTGTGCTATGTGTGGAGTCTTAAGATTCTCTCTCTCCCTCTGCCCCCACCCCTGCTCACTCTCAAAATAAAAAATAAATAAAAATTTTATATGTTTAAGGTGATGATGTTTTAGTATACATGTACATAGTGAAATGACTACTGCAGTCAAGCTAATTAACATATCCATCTTTGTATACCGGAAATTTGCTGAGAGTAGATTTTAGGTGTTCTCACTACACGTGCATGCGAACACACATGTGCGTGCACACATACACACACAGAAATATTAACGATGTAGGGATATACTAATTTTGGATTGTGGGACCTGCCAGCATGAGGATCCTGAGGTAAGCTATTGGACTGAATAAGTAAGCAGCCTTACTGGTTTACAGTCTTTCCAGAATATTTCCTGCAGCAAACAGCTTTGTTATTTTTGTTTGATCTCAGTATTTTTTTTAACACAGGGACAGGATATTTGACTCACTTCTCAAGGAGTGTCTTGAGTGTCACCAGATCTTTTCTGAGTCTCCAGGAAGACCAGCGCCCTAAATCTCACAGAAAAGCTCTGGCAGTTGCAGATTATGCTACAGAGACTTTAAGCAACTTTGAAGAATGCTGGAACCAGGGAGTGTCAGGATCCACAGAGAGCGAATCTGTGATACTCTGATATTTTGAATAGCACTCAGTCGGCCATTTGCACTTTAGGAGTTCTTTGAGTTGCAAGAACTTGGAGTCTTTTACTAGAGTGAAATTAACCAGACTTGGAAAGGCCAGGGACTTCATAGCCTACCTAGTGGCATTGGAACTACAATCCTGGGAGTTGGACTTTCTCTTGATCGTCTTCTTTGCCTCTACAGCTTCAGAACATACGGTGTCAGTTTCAGGACACCTGGGAAATGTAGGCACTGGAGTAGAAAGGAACACTGAGTGTCACTGATCATTGATAAGTGAAGGGGATAGTATCCTGATAGTGCAGAGTAGTCCAGCGACTGAACAGGTTTTACCAAACCTCTAATAATTGAACTCTAGTTAGACTATTTTAATATTCCTCCCTCCCTTCCTTCCTTCCTTCCTTCCTCTCTGTATTGCTACTTATCCTCAGTTTCCTAACTTGGAAAGTTGTACTTACCATTTATTTTCTAAGACAGTCTTTTCATTTTTGCATTTCTGAGTGAGGAACTATGGAGTAAACCTAAATTCATTAACATGAAGCCCCATGGGCTGTTTACAAGATGACTTGTAAACACATAGGTAAGCTTTTGCTAGTCTTGGACTTTTCTGTTTATTGTTCAGGCCGTGAGATGAAGAGCCTACCATCATGTTTTCCACTGGGGGAAAAAAAAAAGTAAAAAACTCATACATAATCAGTGCAAAATTTTTTATTTGCCTTTCTGAGGCCAAATGAATACCTGTTTTCAGTTTGTTCATTTTGAGTTTTGTTTCTTTGGGCAGGGCCAGGGGAGTTTCTTTTAAAATGATTTTTATTTGTCTGACACTATGTTGTAATCATTCCTAAACCAATCCAGTTTCAGGGTCTTGGTGTTAAAATAGGGTCCATAGCTGGTTGATTGAAAAGACTGCTTGATGATTTCTTTGCACGGTTGTTTGCTCAGAGAAAAATGTATTTCTCGTTCTTTGTTTTCAAGGAGAAAGTAGTCTGCCGCACCTGTGGCACAGGGAATCCAGCTCACCTGAAATACTGTGTCACCTGTGAGGGGGCCCTGCCTTCATTTCAAGAGGTAGGTTGACAGCATGGACCAGGCGTCTATTTGGTGGCTGCTAAATGTCCAGTTTCAATAATAATGAAGAAATATAATCTGCAGAGGAGGGAAGAAGTAGGAGGTTGGAGAGACACACTGAAGGCAACATTTCTAAATGTGGAGAGGACTTTATATATTCACCAATACAAAATAGTTTTCAAAGTCTTAACTCAATAAAATCAGCAATTTCTTACAATTTCATTTAATAACTTTGCACAGAAGGCTGGTGGCAGCCAGGGGAGAAGTAGACCCACTTGTATTTCATTCACGGTCAGGTATGTCTTTACTGACTGGGCCATGCTGTTGTTTGAAATTGAGAACATGGTGTGTACCCACTTCTGGGTTTTCTACCAGCCTATTTGGAGTATTTAAAGTGAAGGAATAGGAGTACGTGCAACTGAAATTGATGTTATTACCTGTCAGGGATGTAGTTGTCTCTGGGTCTCACCTATCAGCAAAACTGTTCCAGGAACAATTACAAAATTGAATTTGTTTTCAGGATTTGATTTCTCTTTGAATGGTGTGTCAGAGTTTGGATGTTGCAATGAGAGTATATATCACTGAAGTGCCACAGAAGTAACAATGTGTATTCAGTCCGATAGCTTATGTCTTTTCTTTGTTTAGCAGCGTTAATATGAATGGAAAAAAATACCTTTTCTTTCTTTAAAGCAATGTTATGTTTAAAAAAATCCACTTGAACAGTAGATGCATTTATTTTTTTAAAAGATTTTATGTATTTATTTATTTTTAAGATTTTATTTATTTATTTGACAGAGAGATAGAACAAGTAGGCAGAGAGGCAGGCAGAGGGAGAGGG